CTTTTGTGGCAGAATTGGATGGAACTTGTCAGAATAGTTAAAAGTCCTTTAATCCTGCTAGTCCCCTCCCCGCAAACATATTGTGATTGCACTTGTAAAAAGGAGAACCCTGATTGGAAGCCAGAGTTGTTTGTTGTCCACAAACCTACAACCCCTTTCCTTTTCTCTCCTTATATAATCTTGTGGTGGAGATATACAAATTTTTGCCCATATAATTTCTGTGCCCTTCAGAATTTCAGAAGGAACCATACTGGACGACCTAAGGGTGTTTGCAAATGAGATGCTGCATTGCACAGTGATCCTGCTTCGTCCACATCGTTTTTTGGAGTGGGGTGTGGGAAGATGTCAACACCATCCATTTGTAACCTTCCCATATTTTCCCACTGAAAATCTACTGAGGAGGGGATATTTCCATAAAGCCCTCCAGCAGGAAGAACCCTATCTGAAGATAGATGCAGTGGGATTTACAGCTACTGGGGAAACAGTTTAACCCTCCATATCAATTGTATAAGTTATGCCAGCCACTCTGCAAACAACTGGGATTGTGCCAATGCCAGATTTACACCCAGCTGAGAATCTATGTCAGCTTTGTGCATGGAATCATGCACTACTGCCCTTCTTTGAGGGACCAGGGGGAACATGACCAAATGTGGAGTATTAATGTTATGTTTCTATAGTATGGCCTTCCCCCGCCTTGGTTTCTCCAACTACAAATCCTGTAAGTTCCAGCCAGTATGGGCAAGTGAGAGAGCAGTAATGCCAAGCATCTGAAAGGACTAAGGTTACTTTAATCTACTTCAAATAGTGAATGGTGTGGTAGCTATCCAAAACAGCTAGTACTGTGTTTAAACTGGGCTCTTTAAACCATCTCTCCTTAATCAATTGACTTCAGATAGAGGCCAAATTCAGATATCACTGGTGCTACCTTTCTTTTACATTCATTAACACTACTAAGTGCAAAAGTGGCTGTCAACTCCTTTTTAAAATTATGTTCATAACAACTAGTCACCATGCAAGCTAGCTGCAAAATTAGGAGCTAATTATCAAAAGGGTCCAAATTTAAAGTAAAGTAGCACTGATTAGTGTAGCTCACAAAAGTACAATATCTTAGGATTAGAACCGGATGTGCTCAGGAAAGAATTTGAGCTTTCATATTTATTAGAACAGTTTGGAATATCATTAACTCTCATTTGAAAAAGTAATCATTTTAATTTAGTTGCGCAAACACAGGACATTAAGATCCATGAGCAGATAATGTTCTTCATTAAAACAGAGTAAGAACTTTGTGAACTGGGGCAGATGTACCGTGATAATCAGAATAGAATGCCTTTTTGAAAACTACTCTTAATTTTACTGAGGTTTTAGTTTAGCAATAAAACAACATAGTATCATTCTACATCTACTCCAAAGAACATTCTACTAAGTTTATTGGGGATGACATCCAGGTGAGTGGGTACAGGATTGCCAGCTTAGAGTTTGAAGAGATATTGAAAAACCTTAATCATGGGCTAAGATACAAGTTAAAATTGTTTTGTGAACAATTTGTTATACACATTCCTATGTAAGGAAGTTTTTTCTGTGTAGAATGAATCATTCAGATGAGCTTATAAAGTTCCCAACAAAGCCCTGTGGATATAAATATGTAGCATGCCCATGCATCCTCAAGATTCACTGAAATACTTTGTGCTGCCTTGCAGGGAACAAAATGTGGTACTACTCTGGACAAGATTCAGAAGATTGCATGGGGAGCTTCTCAGCATTCCCCACCCCGGCCTTGATCTAACAGACTTCAGAATTGGGATTCAGGTGTTTCTGCTCAGAGGTTATGCAGAGACAGTGATGGTCATAGCAGGGAACAAAGAACAAAAACAGCAGTGACAACTGCTTGGTCAAGTTTTCTGATATGGCTGCTGTCAAAGACCGTTCTCACCTAGACTCAAGCAGCTCCATTTTGTCTGGAAATGTTATCTGGTAAGGTCTAGCAAGTTAGGACCCACTACATGTACACTTCCTGCCTGAGATGGGAAAGGGGGCAAGCTAGTCTCTGTTGACTTGGGACACTTGGAATAAAAAATACCAGATTTTCCTGTTTCCAATTCAATCAGGGCAATGCTGTATTGCTGCCAAACAGGCTATCAAGATCCCCATGTTCTCAAGAGTCCTCTGATGTAGTAGTGTAACCTAGAACCATGTCCTTTTTTGTTAAGAGGGACCGTCACCCATCCTTTCTTTGTTCACCTGGAAAGCATCCATGCCAGGAGCAAATGCATTTTCTTTACTATTTTTTCTAAGATTGTATCTGGTCTTAAACCATGAAACTGAACTATATTCCAGGAAGAAACCAAGGGGTTGCAGGCAGTATAATTATAGGAGCATTCCTGACTGGTGGAGACACAGCTTCCAGCATGGTGTCTATTCTGGCCTCCCTGAGCTTAGCTTGCTTTCAGGAGACACTGCCAAGCTAAACACAGCCTCACGCTGGCACTCTTAGCTTTATCTCTGCACTCACATCTAGTACTCTATGTGCAACAAAGTCATGCCTGCGCCAAGGTCTCTTCTTTCTGTCCCTTTTTGATGTCTGATACTAATTGCCCTCTCTGTCCAACTTGTCATCAGGCAGCTTCTGTGGAAAATGTCAAATCTCAAGAGATGTAAGAGGTGAACATAGATAACAAGTTTCTCTGAGACCTGGAAGTTGCTCTTCTCCAGTGCTACACCCAGCTCAGCAGTAGGGGCATAATCCTCCACCAGCAGATTCAAAGAAAGCCTTTTCTGATCTACAGAAATTTCTGCTTGAAAGTTTTGGGGTTTTCGTTCAGTTATGTAGTTAAGCAGGTAAAATGCCCCGTGATCAAATAGTCATCAGGAACACCATGCTGGGCAAGAACTGCTGCTAGTTGTGGTCCTGAAAAACAATGGATGCTGAATACATCGTACCTAATCTTGCCCCCGAGATTGGAGTTTTGGTTGTATTATATATTGCATTTGTTACATTAAATTAAAACCTGATGATTTGAGATGGGCAATCATAGCTTACCTATCTCAAGACGTACATGCCTTTAAAACCTCCTTTACCAGCTGCACAGGGGTATGGGTTATGTCATACAGGATGGTGTTCGTGAGCTTTCTGATTGTTGAAGCATGTCTCTTCATGCCCGTTTCACTGACGACTACAGAGGTAGGTAGGATGATTTTGTTCATTCTAATTGCTACATTTTCTCCAAGGAATATGACAACATGTTTGTAACACCTTATTATACTTGCTCAAGACAGTTGCATCTATACATGCTGAAAAACAGCTTTTCTGTAGAAAGACTTTGTCCAGGAAACAGGTTATTCCATAATAAAAATATGGTAATCAAGTGTTAGTCTAGGTCAGTGGGTGGACACCTTGAAGGCCAAAACATCTGGAAAGGCACAAGTTGCCTCTTCTAGTGGAGTTCCCTGAAGTACTCAGCAAGAAGCAACAGAGATGAGATCAAAGTATTCCCAAAAAATTGGTTTTTATTTGGCAACTAAACAAAATTTAAACTGTGAAGTAAATTACTAAAGACCCAGAAGGGAGGGAGGGAGATGAGATGACAGTGAGTCAGCAGTGGCTGCAGAGGAATTCTTCAGTATTCAGAAAAATGGGAGACAAAGGGGGTTTAGAAGAGGTAGAAAGTAGCTGGTAGAGTGGAAAAGATGCAATCTAACAATGTATAGATGTAACAAATTTCCCCAGCCTCATGTAGAGTATTACTGGTCAAGTAATTATAATTTTTATGATGTACTGACATACTTGAATTCATTACTCTTTCAACCATTGAAAAGCCTCAGTAGGAAGCTTGTAGATGTCCAAATCGGATATTGAGTGCACCAATGATTAGTGGTATAGGTCCGAACTGAACAACATAGCTAACTAGCTGTAACAAAACCTGGCACCTTAGCCAAATTGCAAACATGAGGACTTTTACTGGCACCAAACCACCATTGCTATAGGTAGATCTTCCTTAGAACTTTAACCTTTTGGAACACCACACTCATTGCCCTTATCTTTTTCTGGAACATTCCTAGCTATCATTCCTCCTGGAGTTCATCATGATATGGAGGGAACGTGATGGCCAGGAAGTGTTAAACTGCATTGGTTCTCCCATGCTGTACAATGGAATACTCAACATTTCTACCTCTAAAGAAAAGGAAATCAGATTTGGTTAGCTACTATGTTTCATCCTTTTCCAACACAGTGATGAAAAATTTCTCTCTCAGTGACATGCAAGTCCATCACATGAAACATACTTGTTTTTAATGTTTTGGGCAAGACTTTTACATGTAATAAATCTTGATACTTGTAATAATGCTGTTGCTTAATTATAAAATATGATTGGATTCAATTACTCCATAATTTAAACAGCATTTACTTTATGGGTCAATCCTCTGAATAAATGAGTGCCTGAATCATTCAAGATTAGACAACATTGGTGGGAATATTTTATTTAAATTCCATTTAAGTATTTTCAATGGATATATTTTGGATAAGGTCAAACTGTTTATTTTATACCAGATTTGAATACTGACATTTGTCAAACCTGTTTTCTGAAACAGGTTGTTTTTGGTGATCTACTGGTAATATATTCTTGATTTTTAGGATGAAAAGAAGCATTTCCTTACCTGTATACAAGATGGTAGAATTATTTACAAATACATACAAAATGAAATATTTCAATAGTGAGTTTGGGCCATTGACTGTAAACAAAAATAGCCTAAGTGTGTGCTGTAAACTTTGAAAAAATATATTTTGGACCCATTTTGTTTTGCTTTCAGATTGGATGTAATTGAGATAAATGTAGAGTTTGTAAAACAGGTAGAAAAAGGAATGTATAACCTTTGTTTTGGACTGTGGTTGTGCACTGGCATGGGAAAAGTAAAGCTCATGGTTTAATTCTTATCTATAAAAACTTCTGTGCTACAAAAGTTTTCAAAATAATATTTTGCCAGAGGCTATAGGTCAAGGAAATAAATTTACATTTTAAACAGTGTAATCATGAACCTGTATTAAAGCTAGTACAGACATTACAGGTCAATTCAAAACCATATTCAAGAGTCCTAAAAAAGGAACACAAGACACTTTTTGTTGCTCCAGACAATTCAAGCGTTAACTTTGCATGATAGTGACCCAACAGCTGCTCTCTGGTCCCAGTTCATGTCCCAGATGGAGGCTTTCCATTTGGCCCATTAAGTCCAATAATAAAGAAGTCAGCTCAAAACACAGAAATGAGGGCAAAGACTCCATATAATAAAGCACAGGGATATGCCACTAGCAGTTGTTGTCCTTCCATTGCTAAGGCTGAAATGAAGATTTTGGAAGCTGAAAAGCTGCACCATCCAATAATTCCAGCAGCAAGAATAACTCCCATCAGACCCCTGAAAAACAAAATTGATTCAAGCACTGAGTAAAAGCTTCACATAAGTGTACACACATCAAAAGTGTGTGTGTGTGTGTGGGGAGGGGGTGTAGCTATGATCTATAGAGCAGATGGGTCAAGGAGGAAACAGAACAAGTATGTAGTCAGCAACATACCCAGCTATTTTTGACCTGAACGTTCAACACAAGGCAAAACGGATTCCCCATGTACAGCACTAAGCTAGAAACTGCATACAATCCAGACATATAAGCCTCTGAGCAAACAGATCAGTTCCCTGGTCAATGCATCTGCTGCATTCATTTGTTTACTTGCTATTTGAAAATCTCTAAGGACTGATAATCTATGACTTTTTACCTTGACACTTTTTAACCTCCACACCAAAGATTAAATAGTTTACATAGATACAAAGAAGGCAATTATGAAACTGTCATTTTTAATGTAACTTATAACATGTATAAAAGCTACCTCTTGCTTTTTGTATAAACACAACCATGTACCGAGTACCAAGAACTAGTCTTGCTTTTCATTTTAGAAAGCTGCAGAAATTGTTCTCCCAGTAACTCCCCCTTTCTAACTTATTTGGCCAAAATACTACAGGTGATTAGAGAAGCCTATTTCTCTGTTATTTCTGGCCTCTGAGGCTTTAGTATATATAGCACTTCTAGCAAAGAAGTAAATGCACAAGGCAGGTAAAGCAGTACGCACTCTACAGTAATATGAGCATCTGTTCATCTACGGAAGTTGTCAGGATTTAATCTAGAGAATTGCAAACTGAAAAGTTTTTTTTCTCTTACCTCTGCACACTTAGAAAATTAAACAGTCACTTCTAGAATTTACTACTGGAATTGTGAGCTGAATAGTGTTAGCCCAAGTACAGACAATGCGTGCTATTAGCATTTCAAATGTGTTTAAGTATCAATCATCCTGTAAAAGTGCTATACAAGCAGATAGATTTTGGGGATAAGCAGTAAGAAGATAAAATGTCTGTTGAAAAACTACATGGCTACAGTGTCAATTTTAACTGCAACTGTGGGTATCAATGTTTTATCCATATTGTGTTTCATGTTCTCTTTCTATATATAATGCAAGCCAATGGATGTTGGGTTTAGTGTATGCCTACAACATGCTAGCTTCTCTTATAAGTGAAGAAAAGGTAGATTTGAACAGGGAGGAATTCTAGGCCGTTTTTCCCTATTTTCTTCCTTCTTGGTTGAAAAATACTTGCAATTATCTTCTTCAGGGCAATTAAGATTTAAAACGTAAAGTGTCAAGTGAAAAGAAAAATGTAAACACTGCATTTATTATGGGTAATTAAATATTTGGAAAGTTACTAACAGAATCTGTTTTGTGCTCTTCAAAATTGCATGTCTGGCAACCTTTAGAATCTATAGGTACATTTTCCCCATATCATATGCAAAGTAATAGACTATCTAATACAGTAATATTATATTTAGGATAAGTTATACTTACTGTAGAGAAAATACAACTGCAAAGCTGGACAGTATTATCATGGGAAGCAGGCAGTATCCCAGGACACTGGCAACACAGCCAAATGAAACACCAGTCATACTCATTAAGTTCAGGAGAGAGAACATTCCTAGGCACCCAATTGCACTAATCCCATATACATAGCCAAACTGAATTTTGCCAGCCTAAAAAGAAGAGAATGTAAATTAAGTTTCAGAATGCATTGCGTTGTATTTTATATTTCTGTATTCTTCTGGGCTTTATAGAAAGGCCATGGGGAATAGTTAATTTCTGAATGAAGTAGAAACTTCTCAAAGCAATGATTACAGGTAGCCTTATTCTTTCCATTATTGTGGTATTTTTAGTTTTGCTGTAACAATTTAAAAAACACACACAGGTGAATTGTAAAGCAGGAGACAATGTTGAGAGAGAAAAAAGTTGGCGCTGAGTGATGCAAAGAGTCTGAGAAAACAAATTAGTATTCCATTTATATTTCTGTATAATGTATTTCTATATTTCCAGGCAATAGAAACACAGGGGCTCATATGTGCTTGGCTAATCCAGTTTTATAAAGACTACACAGTACTTTCAAGGGGAGATAAGCAATGCTGATGTATGTTAGCAAAAAGTTCTAGAGATGTAGCTAGCAGTCTACTGACAGTATGCCATGCTGCCCACTAGCAAAGAGTTCTATGACTGCTTGCACAACGGGAAGTGAGAGGCTCCTGAAATGACAGCAAACTAGTCAAAGTACAAATTTCCACAGAGGGGCAGGTCCAATGGAGCTCATAAAGGGAGCATCTGTTGTGCTGCTGGTTGGTCCTGTGACCGTGACCCAGCAGAAGAACAGGAGGACTGCTGCATATGAAGCCTTGCTCCAGATTAATTCTCCTCCAAAGGAAGTTCCTTCTCCTTCCTGGCTTTGCAAACGCCTAGAAAAATCTTGTTTCAAGTGGCCTTTAAGCAGCAACTTCTTCTTTGTCATTCTATGTGGGTGGCATGCTGCTCTAGTTTTGTTCTTAGGATATTACTTTATGTTTCGGTCTATATATCCTTGTGATTTTTGAAGATTAATTTAGAAAGCTAAAGAGTTTCTAAATCAAGTCAACAATTTTTGATCTTTAAAAATGCTTGACCCAAAGTAGGAATAAAGCATCAACAGCCTGGATCCAAAGAACTGTGTAATTAATAAGAATGCTTTGGACAAGTTACAAGTTTGAGATAATTATTCTGGAGATATCTGGAGCACCTTGTAATCAGAGAGGTGATGGGCGCTCCCACACTGGAGCCATTCAAAAAGAACCTGGACAGCCACCTGAGTGGGATGGTGTAACTTGGTGTCCTGCAACAGCAGAGGGGTGGACTCGATGGCCTTCATGGCCCTTTCAACTCTTCTATTCTATGATTCTAGGTCTGAATCAGGTTGTTCCTAATGCTTCAGAACTGCTTTGAAACGATGCTTTACTTATCTTGCACATTTTGACAACATTCTGAACTTCCTCAGAGCATCTCCAAGGTCTCCATACAGTGGAAAACATTAAAGAGGAGAAAGATACATGGTGCAGGTAGCTTTGTGATGAACAGAATGAGGCACAAAAATAGACTATGAGACTAACTGAAACAAATGGTTTTTACATGCCTTTCCATCTAGCTACCAACCAGGGAATGAGTTTACCAGAGCTGGAGTAAAGTTTACCCTTTACTTCCAGTTGCAGTGTTTTGCAAATATACAAGGAATGCATTAGGAGGTATCCTGGTCCTTGTGCCTATTATCCGTCTGGCAGCATTCAGCGTCTTTGTGACTCCAAGAGGACCCCCATCCAAGCCAATGTGGTGGGTTCCAAAGTCACTATCGTTTCCTGTATACACCCCTAATAACTAGCCCTGAAAGTCCTAACTGATTCTTGGCCAATGAGATCTTAAAATGCTTTACATTCACTAATATACAACATCATCTCTACGAACAATGAAAGCCTGGATTTTGCGATTTGATGTTCAGGTAATTCTACATTAGGGTCAAGCTTGTATACCAGTAATTGTATTTCCTTGGACCATAAAAGTATAATGCTAAGATTATTAGCACACTTAAGTACAATCTTATCCTACTACTCAAAAGTGATACCTCCTATATTAAATGGGACTCCTAAATAAGTATAAGATTACGGTCCTACACATCAAATATAGAAGTGTGCACACAAGGATAACTGTTGTAATTTTTTGCAATTTAATTTGTTTATATTTTAAGACAGTTTGCATTGACCTACTTTTAACGTCTTTTAAAACAATTGATATCTTACCAACAATAATGTGGCACCAAAGGCTAAGCAAAAGACCATTGGTCCTGCCAGATCTGTTTCATTCATGATGCTTCCATCTGCTACTTTTAATGGATGCAGAACTGTCAGGGTCTTCTGCCAGATGTGGTCAAAATTGATTCCTAGTTCTGAAGATTAAAAAAAAAATCATTGATTTGCCAGGAATGAAGTAATATCTTATAAGCTGTCAGAGTCTCCTGCTTAAATATGTAAGGCCTATTAGCAGCCTGAGACAAACAGAAACCAAGTAATATGATTGGCTGAATTTCCAAAAAATGTTTTGATTTAAAAAAAAAAAATTCACACAGTATACTTATTTTCTTCTGGTTTCTTAAGAACGGATGATATGATGGCTTAAGTAAATGGAATGAAACAAAAAAGACAACAGGAACTGATGAAGAAATTCAAAGGAAGCTGATTTACCTATGTTAGAATAAGATTGGCACACACTTTTGATAATCTGTCACTGTCCTTTGTAAATTGTCCTATATACTTTAACACATATTGGTCTTTATAAAGAACAGAAATCAAACCTTCCAGTAAGGGTGGCTCATCTTCAAAATTGCTTCCATAAAAAGATTGTGGTGAGGATGGAGTATATGCTTGTGTTGGCTGAAAAATCTGACCGGTGTAAGGCTGTTGCTGTGGCATCATCTCTGGAGGGACATATCCACCTTGCTGAGAATATTCATAGCCAGCATACTGTCTGCAGAAAACAAAATATCATTATTTGTCAGGTATAAGTACTATGCTCCTTAATTCCAAATGCATCTACGTCAGAGATATTTCCATACCAGTTTCTATTAATACAAGGAAGTACTCATGGATTCTTGGAACACTACAAGTAGTCCCTGGTGAAATTTATAGCAATGCTTCTTACATACAAGGTAAAATGGAAGCAGAAAGGTTCTTGATAGTCTTTGAAACTGAGTGGTTTAGAATACATCATGACAAAATAAATGTTTAAGTCATTTGGATGGTATTTTTCTTGCTAAAATTCCTGACAATTTCATTTATTAAAATGCACTCAAAACAATGTATCACCAGGATTGTTGTCTAGACTCAGGTACAGGATCCTTGATGTATTCTATCATTTTAGGACCTTTAAAGAGAACCTAATTCAAGTCACTTTGCTCTCCCATCCTTGCTCATATAAACAGTTGGCTCATGCAGTACTAACTAGCATATACTTTAACGTTTGTGACATATACAATGACCAGTTACCCATTATGACAAGTAAAAACTTCCTTGATTTTAAATATTTTTTCTTAATTCATAGACAAGCTTCCTCACAGAGACATTTTACTTAAGAAGAAGATAAATAAACCTAGTACAAAAGAATGTCCAACCAGGCTTGGGTCCTAAACATACACTAATGATGTGATCCTATGCATATCCAGATGGAAAACTGCTTTTCAACTCCTGGCATCTCTAGCCAATATAGTTGGCTGGGCAATGCCAGGAGCTGTAGTACTTTTTTCTGTTGGGCTGCACCCTTAACCACACTTCTCCAATTTAGAGCCCCCAGTAGTACTGCATTACTATATCCACCAACTCCTACTAACATAACATGCAGGTTTGGGATGCTGTTCTTTAACTGATGCATATTGAACTGTTTAAAGAGCTCTTTCTTTACACTTTACAAAGGGCATCTACACATTTTGGAAAGTGTGCCACATCATAGAACATGGATGGGCAACTAGTGACACTCCAGATGTTTCATTCTACAACTACTAGCAACAAATATCGGGGGGGGGGGGCGCACAAATTGTTCATCCTTGCCCTAGAATGTACAATGGTTCCCTACTTAAGCACTACTTAAAATTCTATAGTTCCATATATATTGGAGTAAAATTTAAGTAGTACTAGGCTATCCCAATGCAGTTTTAACAATTAATTCAATTTAACCTTCAGTTGGTGGTACATAAAACTGGCTTAGGTTTAATTTAAAAGATGTAAATACATTTCCACATTTAAGAAAAGAACAGATTATAGCATTCTGGTTACTAAGAGTAGATGAAATCCAAGTTACTTGTTGTATGTTCCTCCTCCATAGTCTCCTCCGTATGACTGTGCTGCTTGATCATCGATGCTGTAACTTGTTTGATAGAAATCTGTATTGAAATTGTCAAACCCAGACATTGCAATCTGCCTGTAAAATAAATGTCTATATGTTACAATTTGACTGATCTACTAATGCCATCTTTATTTCAATTCATCTAGTTTACAAATCCAGAGGAACAGATCCTTACAAGCAAAATACAAAGCCTCACCATTGTACCAAGAAAAAAAAATTACTATAATTAGAAATAAAACTAGCCTTGCAGTTACTGCAAACAAAAAGCAACACAGCACATCTCTATCACCAAATTAGAGCTCCTCCCAAACCTTTATATGCTTCATCATGAGACATCAAGCAATTGTTGCTAGCCTATGGTCGCTTTTTTTGAGGGTGGGGGGGGCACTGCCATCTTTGCATTGACAAGCACATCCATTCATCTTTCATTTTTCCTGAAAAGCACTATATTTACGTACTGTTCACCCCCCACACACCCCCCATTTCAAAGCCTTCCTCAAGGAGAGAAAAACAGAAAGTCCAGTACAAAGAAAGCAAGCGAAAGCCACTAAAGTTACACTAAATAATATTCTGCTGTATCATAAACTTACATAACTTATCCATTCAACTTACTATTGCAATAGAACACTATTTACGTCTTCGTCACAAGCTTTGCATCACACAAATGAGAACGCTAAAAACATTTAGTCATTTCGACCTGAGGCAGACTGAGACTTCTGGATGAGCACTGCAGGTCTTAATGCCTAGGTAATACAAGCAGGGTGGCGGCATAGGGTGTTTGGGGACTCATCTCCGTAACAAGATTTCACCTTGGGGCATTTATAACGTACACTCTGGACTGTCAACCCGACTGCGTTGCGAAACCGGGAAGACACGGAGCAGGAGAAAGGGGCCACGGGGGGCTCAATTCCCGCGACGTATGTCTTGCTTGCCTCTCGCTCGATCCGGAAAGAGGGAGCTACGGTTGCCAAGCGAGGAGGGGCGGCGAGACTGTGCCAAAGTGGGGCCTTGCCTCACCCCCTTCCCCTGTAGCTCACCTCAAGGGCCACCTCCGCGGTGAGGTCGCAGACGCCGCTTTGTCCGCGCACGGCCGGCTACGAGCCCTCCTGGCGAGATCCCCCGCCCGCCTTCGCTTCGCTCGCTTGGGCGCTACGTGTCAGCCACCCAAGAGAAACCGCTTCCGGATCAACAAAAACGCGCATGCGCGGCGCAGAGCAGCGCGGCGATCGCTCTTTCTTCCGTCTCGATGATCAACGTGGGCATGTTGGCCAGACGCCCGAGCTGTTCGCGGCGCTAAGACTCTGAGCATGCGCAGTGAGAGCTTCGTGTGAGCGTGCTCTGCGTAACCTTCGCGTAGAGCCAAGGGGTTGTTGCATGTGTCTTTCGGGCCGGAGTGCTCTGGTTAGCATAAACAGGAAGCGGAGTGGGGAAATAACATTAAATGAAGGGGAAATGGGATCCCCCCCCCCCCAGTTTTTACGTTTTAAAGTAGCTGCACGGCATGGTAATGTATCTGTAGTCACATTCCAGCATTGCATTCCGAGGGATGGTTACTCCAGTCACAGTGCTCTGTTCTTAGGACCCAGTCGCATGCAGGTTCAGACGGAGAGAAAATCCTACAACTCCCAGCATTATTCAACATGAATTCCCATATATTGATCTGTTTGTAAATTAAACCTAAAGGCCACTCATTCAAAAACTGAAGAGTTCATTAAATCCTCACCTGGAAAGCAGCTTGAAATATTTTTTTCTTGTTTTGAGTGCTGTATTTCTATTTTGGGAATACTGTAGTCCAAACCAGAATCAGGAGAAGTAAGCAGATTTGATCAGAGATTTTTGTTGAATTGAGGTTTTTTGTTTTAGTCATTTTGAACACATTCTGTCTTTTGTAACCTGAGAAAGGCATGTGGAGGAGACCCTCTTGGATTCAGCAAAGCCTCTTTAGCTTTCTCTTTAATAAAAAAGTTTATTTTATGACACAAACTCCATAGCAATGACCTAGGAGGGTATTGGGTATAGGTAGTGATTTGAAATAGCTTTTCCTTTGGGATATAAAGATAGCAAGGATGGAACATAACTTGGAAGCTGCCGTTTCTTGGGTCACTACAAATGTAATTTTAAGCATGTTTAATTCAGATGTAAATCTCATTGAGCTCAGTGGGACTTATCACTTCCAGTGGTGCTTCTTAATGTGTTCCTTTTCATTTGCCCCATATGCTTCAAAGGGAGCCATTATGATTCACGGCATACATAAAATGACTGCATATGTGGGAGGTTGAACTTGTCTCCCCCTTACTGAAAATACAGACCAGTTCCCTAAGTTTTACAGTCAAGGAAAGTAAGCACTGCATTTTGGGACATTATTGTGCTAAACATGCCTCTTGGCCTTCACAATGCATGTCTTCACCTCCTCTAAGAGGCAGCATGATGCCCTTGCTATACCCTTTAACCTGCTGCCCTTATCATCCTCAAGACCATGAAGTGCATTTTGTAGGTAGTCTACCATTCCATTGTCCTGGTCTAAAGGAAAGGATGTCTGCTAAAAGTCCATCAGTCTATTTAAATTTGATCCTTTGTTTGTACTGCTGTCAGTACTGGCTCACTTCAGTAAAAGAGTTGTTTCTTTGCACGTGTTTCATTTGACTTCGGGTGGCACTGTTGTGCATACTTCTTCTGGCAAACTTCAGGCTAACAGTTTTGGCTGGAATGACGGCTAAGATTCAGAGAATGAGATGTGTAGGGGAGCTGGCCTAGCAGCTCAGACTCTGATAACTTCCTCATAAGGTTTGAGCTCGAGAGCGACCTTTCCCTCTGCAAGGGTGTGGACCAGATTGTATTGGTCCGCTCCCGGAGCCGGATGGATCCTGATGGATTCCTGGAAGCTCCGGGGGATTTTCCGGTGGACAAGGCTGGTGATCCTGTCGATGCCCTGGTTGAACTGTGGAATGAGGAGATGACCAGGGCTATTGACACGATCGCTCCCAAGTGTCCTCTCCCACCTGGCAGAGCCCGTTCATCTCCTTGGTATACACCTGAATTACGGGCGATGAAGCAGGTTGGGAGACGTCTAGAGCATAGGTGGAGGAGATCACGGGGTGATTCTGACCGAACACACTTAAGAGCCCATTATCGAGCCTATGCTGTGGCGGTGAGGTTGGCGAAGAAGAAATTCTTTTCCGTTTCCATTGCCTTCTCACAATGCCATCCGGCGGAGCTTTTTCGGGTGGTGCAGAGGCTGATACATCTGGGCCCAAAGAAAGATCTTGTGCCACCCTCGGAGGCCCACTGTGACGACTTTGCCAAGCATTTCAGGGAGAAAATCACTCAGATTCGCCACGAGCTTGACTCTGCTATTGAATCAGATTCTACTGGGGAGATGCCATCGACGCCATTGAGTCCACAATTAATGGATGAATTTCAGTTGTTGCGGCCTGATAATGTGGACAAGGTGCTTGGACAAGTACGTCCTACCACTTACTTACTAGACCCATGCCCATCTTGGCTACTTAAGAAAGCCAGGGACGGGATTGGGGCCTGGATTCTGGAGGTGGTCAACGCCTCTTTAAGAGATGGCCGGTTACCTGCCCCTTTAAAGGAGGCGGTAGTCTGGCCAGTCCTAAAGAAAGCATCCCTGGATCCAGAGGTGGCCGCCAATTATATACCGGTGGCCAACATCCTGTTCCTGGGCAAGGTGCTAGAGCGGGTGGTGGCAGGACAACTCTAAGCACTCTTGGATGAAACTGATTATCTGGACCCATTTCAGTATGGCTTCAGACCCGGGTATGGCACTGAATCTGCCTTGGTCACCCTGTACGATGACCTGTGCAGGGAAAGAGACGGGGAGTGCATCCCTGTTAGTTCTCCTGGACCTCTCAGCGGCTTTCGATACCATCGACCATGGTATCCTTCTGAATAGGCTAGCAGGATTGGGAGTTGGAGGCACTGCGTGGCGGTGGTTCCGCTCCTATCTCAATGGCCAATTTCAGAAGGTGGTGCTGGGAGACTATGGCTCTGTGCCATGGCAGTTATGCCATGGAGTTCCGCAGGGGTCCATTTTGTCCCCTTTGCTATTTAACATCTACATGAAACCGCTGGGAGAGGTCATTAGGAGGTGTGGGCTGCGGAATCATCAGTATGCTGATGATACCCAGCTCTACCTCTCGTTTTCCACCAATCCAGGTGAGGCAGTGGCTGTGCTGAACCGGTGCCTGGCCGAGGTAATGGGCTGGATGAGGGCCAATAAACTGAAGCTCAATCCAGACAAGACGGAGGTCCTGTTGGTGGGTGGCTCGGG